TCAAATCCATTCAATTTAGAGACAAGGATTTCATGTGTTCACAACAGACTTCACCGGTCTTCACAGACTAGCAAATTTGCACCTTGGAATGGAAGTAACTCAGTTCCTACTGTGTAATGCTAATGTGGGAAAATTAGGCTTACCTACTTAACAGTGGTACTTTCTTCTAGCTAATAGGATAAAACAGTTTCAGAGGCCAATAACACATGGTGAGTTTCCATCATGTATTTATCAGCAAATGAAATAATGAAGGGGCTAATTACCTGTTGTAGTAGCACAGTAATATGAGGTTCTGATAAACTATCATATTTGTTGCTGTGAAGATTCTGCAATTAAGCCTTATTTTATTTTCTCAAACGATTGCAATGGCTAATGAGAGAGCTGGAAAAAAACACCAAAAGGATTCTACTATCTCCATAAAAAGGCCACTTTATTTACCCATGCCAAAACAAGACTTCTCTCTAATTTCGTTTTGTTTGGGGGTTTTGCTATTTTGCCTTATCTAAAATATAACACAAAATAGTTCAACTCTGTACCAAAAGAGACTACATGACTACTTAACAGTTTACCATAGTTATGGGATCTTGCTGTTTCTTTGGCATGGCTCTTCCCTGTCCCACCCCACCCTCCTACCCCTGCCAACACCATCTCTCTTGGTACACTTGGATGAAGCTTTCTGGGATAGGACCATTGGGGGAATTTCCTTCTGTTTATAGGACACATAGCACAGAGGAAGTCTTGGTCCAGGAATAGGTCTCTGCAAACTGAGATCTACAAGAAAAAACATACACACAAGACCCTACTGTGCTAAACTCAAAATACGATACAATATTAGTCCAAGAATATATTAAACAAATAAGACAGATGCAAAATACACATCACAGTAGCTCTATAGTAGAGCCAAATGACAGTTTCATTTTAGATTTAAATTCTAAGTAAGCAACTTGATTCAAAGAGGGGATGAGCAAATCTGGGAAAAGAGGGATGTAGTGGTTTCTCAGTTCTCCTTGGTAATAAAATGTTAAGAACTGACCAAACAATATAGGCCATATCCATGTGTGTGATACCCATCTAGTCAAGACAAATTCTGTCTTTGTGCATCTCTCACATTTTATTATTTGACTACTCCATGCAAACATGGGCAGTAGCTTTCAACATCATCCTTGGTGGTACCTGTAAAATACATGCCCCGCTCAACAGAACAGACTCTCCATAATTTACATACAATAACATGTGCATCAGAAGGCAAACGATCCCCACAACTTCACGAAGACTCCCCTAGAAAAAGATTTAGAAACTGCAAAACACATTCACAAAGGATTAAGACTTTTCTTTTGCCCAGATACAGATGTAGTTGAAGTACCATTCTCTGCAACACCACACACTAACTCAGAAGGAATCACAACTAGGTAAAGCTTCTGAAACTTTTGCTAACAACTTTTGCTTCCTGTTGATAAACTGTACACAGACATGGCCACCTACAAATAATTATCACAGAATCACAAAATCGCCAGGGTTGAAAGGGGCATCTGGAGATCACCTAGTCCAACCCCCTGCTTAGGCAGGGTCACCTAGAACAGGTTACACAGGAACGTGTCCAGGTGGGTTTTGAATTTTCCAGAGAGGGAGACTCCACACCAGCCTGGGCAGCCTGTTCGAGTGCTCTGCCACCCTCAATGCAACAAAGTTCTTCCTCATGTTGAGGTGAAACTTCATGTGTTTCAGTTTATGGCCATTGCTTCTCATCTTGTCTCTGGGCACCACTGAAAAGAGTCTGGCATCATCCTCCTGGCACCACCTTTGAGATATTTGTACACATTAATGAGATCCCCTCTCAGTCTTCTCTTCTGCAGACTAAACAGGCCCAGCTCTCGCAGTCTCTCCTCATAAGACAGATGCTCCAGACCCCAAATCATCTTCGTGGCCCTCTCCTGGACCCTCTCGGGTAGTTCCTTTTCTTTCTTGAACTGAGGAGCCCAGCACTGGATGCAGTACTCCAGATGTAGCCTCACCAGGGTTGACCAGAGGGGGTGGATCACCTCCCACAACCTGCTGGCCACGCTCCTCCTGATGCACCCCAGGATACTATTGGCCCTCCTGGCCATAAGGGCACACTGCTAGCTCATATTCAACTTAGCATCTCCCAGTGCTCCCAGGTCCTCCTCAGCTGAACTGCTCTCCAGTAAGTCAGCCCCCAACCTTACTAGTACTTGGCCCAGGTGCAGTACCCTACACTCACCCTTATTGAACCTCAGAAGGTTTCTCTGTGACCAATTCTCTAGCCTATCAAGGTCCTGTTGAATGGCTGCAAAGCCTTCAGGTGCATCAGCCACTGCCCCCAGCTTCACACCTAGCATTAAGCAATCTAAGCTCTCAACTATCCAGATCATGAAATTTTAAATTGATACATAAATTTGTTGTCATTTTGTCAAAAGTGATAGTTGCTAAATCTAAAACTATGTTTTTTTAAAAAAAACTAATTTATGAATGAAATTAGTTGTAATGGTAAAAGAAATTAACTTAATGAATTCATTTAATTCAGCCCAATAGAGCCAATAAATGCTACCAGTCTCCTAGAGTTATGTCCATTCATAAAGCAATGAGACATAAAGCAATGTCATTCAAACTTCGTAGGTGCTTAAGAGTAGGAAAAAATTACATTTGGGTTATGCAAGCTGAATAAAGCATGCTCATACTTTGGAAAGTCACAAGATAATGATTTTTATTTTATTGATGTGTGGAAAGCTTTGGGGGGGTTTGCTGTTTAGCTTTCTGAGGACAGAAAAGCAGGTTGCTGTGCATCATCTTTGGTACATAGATCTGATCTGGACCTCCCTGGAAAACTCTAACAGAATGTGCAATGACAGCTCTTCCCTTTTGTTGCTGAAACCAAAATGTCTGTATCAGTGTTACCCTAGGACCTCTCTGAAAGAGATTGACACTAAGCATTTAGTTCATTTTCTACCTGGTTTGTAGGAGGTGCTCAGTCAGGTACCAGCTGTTGGGTATGTTGGCAGCAGCACTCAAGCTCAAGCAGAGTATGGGAAAGTTTACATGCATTTCTCTGCCTTACACATGCTACAGAAGGGGACGAGTATGTCAGCCTTTCAGGTCACACTTCAGCTTCCTTTACCAGCAAGAGTGTGTGCCGAGTGAGATGCTCTGATGCGCTGTTTTGGGAACAGGATCCTAAATGTCCATTCCAAACTTAAATACACCTCAACTAAACTGAACCTTGTCCAAAATTTTTCAGGACCAGGGTCCTCAAGGAATGCTGAACTTAAAGAACCAAAACTTTAAGAAATAGGGTGGTTTGGGTTTACGTTTTATCTAGATGGATTGCTAGAATATTCTGTCCTTTGTAAACATGAGGTAATAAAAGGAAAAACCTCATCAAAAGGATATTGACAAGAATCCCACTTTGTTTCTTCCTTCTAAAACCATGTAGTACCTATCTACTTGTCTGAAATGCTGGGGGAACAGCTGGATTAATTTAATCAAATCAATGAAAATCTTTTGGGAAATATAGGTGCTGCTAAGGAAACAAACAGAACCTGGAAAAAAATCCCAACGTTAAGCGATGAAAATTATGCTGAAGTTTGTTTTCTGTTGATGCATTGCTCTTTTGCTTCAGAGACCGCAGGATGAAATACATTCCCAACATATACTATTAGCAGATCAAATTTAGTTTCTGCTATTACTTTCAAAGGATTTGGTGAATAGGCAGTATCATTAGTATTACCTAATCCTTCACTCAGACCTAGGACTCAAAGATTAACAGTTGCAGATTTCATAACATTTCTAATTCAGGGATAAATTGTATTTTCTTTACTTGGATGGGTAGGTAATGTCCTAAAGTTATTTAATTCTTAGGAACCATTGACTTTACAGGAACAGACTAAGAACTCGTGACCATGAAAAATTACTAATCAGATGAAATTAGATGAAAAAAATATCCCTAATGAGAAAAACAGGATAAGAATCCTGTCTCCAAGGAGGGACAGAGCTTTGTCTCATACAGACAGGGCTGCTGTGAGGCAGCAGACGTGTTTGTTTTTATTATACAATCTGCTTTCATTACACCAAATTATTCGGTCATGATGGCACGCCTTCCGCAAAAGCATGCTCTCCAATAGGGCACATTACAGGAAATCATGGTCAGAAAAGGGAAGAAAGAACTCTAGGAGGGAATTTTATATGGGAGTAGATGGAATAGTAGAATGCAGCTAATTTTTAAATAAAAAAGCACAAGTCTTCCCTCTCATTCTGAAAGACAGCGAGCCTCCATTTTCAGGGGAAGGTTCCAAGTTAACATATCCTAACCAGACAAACACTTCTCCTGTAGTCTTAGGCAAGGTATCAAACATAAGTTGCATTTCTGTGTTCCATCATTGTTCCAGGCTTCCCTCTTCAAATACAGTTGTGCAGTCTCATTTGAGATACCAAATTTTCCATTTTCACCAAGTAGGGAAATTTCAGCACCTCACACCTTGAATTCCACTCTGGGTGCATTCAGAGCTGAGAATCTTGGCATTTAAAAATCCTTTCTTAGCTATACCCCTAGAGAAGTGTATACTCTTAATTTTATAAACTATGTATGATCTTCCTTCTGTTTTACACACCTTTGCTTGTAGCCCTCATGTTACATCATACCAAATCAATGTTACAAATAAGTATTTCAGATTAAAAACTTAAATTAAAAAAGGTCCATATCCTTACATTTGGAAGTATAACATGTGAAATTAATATAGTCAGTTATGTCAAAATTTCTCAGGGAAGAAAGAATAAACAGATTCACATATATATATGTATAATCATAGACATAAACATTGTAGTAATATGAACATGTTACCAGTTATTAGTAATTAGTAACACATTCATGTTATTGACATGAACATAACAAACCACTGAAGTTAGCAGTTACTGTTGCTACCACTACTGAAGGAAGGCAGGAACCCATCAAAGCTAACATTCAGAAGAGAAATGTTGCTTTGATCTCTTGGGAGAGCAAAGAAATTACTGACAGGAATTAGATCCCTGTCTATGTGTTTGGTTTATGCATAGCTGAAGATAATCTGCTTTAAAAATAGCTTTCACTGCTCCATTTCTTTACTTAAACCCCTTTATTTTCCTTCAACTAAAAAGAGATGATAATTTAAAAAAAAAAAAAAAAAAAAAATGCAACATTGTTCTGCCATTTTTGCTCCAAACCACAAAACTTCAGGCTATAAAAAATAGAAATAAAGTAAGATATAGGAATAAATCAAGTAATTTCCTGTTTGAATTTTTTTTCCGATTCTTCTTCTTTCCCCATAATTACTCACACTCTTCCATTTCAGCCCTCATATCCATGTCAATTTCCCAAACTTGCGTAGTATTGTTTCTATTTTATTTTACCCTTCTTTCTCTTTTCCGTGCTGTACCTTCTTTTGTCTTGTAGACAAAAAATAAACAGAAACCTAAACAAGTTAAAAAATTATTTTCTTACTACTGCTGCTGCTACCCAGAGCACTTTTCTCTGGGCTTTCTGTATTTTCCATTGCCTTTTACATTTCTACACATTTATCTTTGAACTGTGTTCCAAACCCTGATTGTGGCCTCACCTTTCCCTTCACTCCTCCCCCATCACCTTTGTTATGTGATCTGCTATAACCCTCAGAGCAGTTTGGTTTTGATCCCAAGTGCTAGTCACAAATCTGTTTGTGGCAGATCAGGCTCTCCCTTTTCTATCCATCCATTTGGTGTATTTGCTGCAGACTTCTCCATGTTTTCAGCAATAGGTAATAAAGTCTATCTTGTCCATATGGACAGAAGAGGAAAAAACACTCCTTCCCCTGGGCAAAAATTTAGATGGTATTAGGCATCTTCAAGAGGTATCAATATGTAAATACATATGCTATCAGTAACACCTAGCAATAAGACTACCACAGAGCCTTCCATCTTTCTCCTGTGGCCACCCTTCACTTATACATTAGAATACCATCTGTGATTGCACAGAATACAATCTGTGAATGTCCGTGGCCAAACAATCACAAAACCAGGGGTGGAGCATGTTTCAGACGCATTTTCTTCATTCCTTCACTCATACTGAAGAGGGATAAGCAGCACAAATCTGAATCAGCCTTCATTTGGCCACAGGAGATACATACTTTTTTCCACCCCTAGTCTATGCTCTTCTACCATCTGAGGCCCTCAAGCAATCAGTTAAACAACAGCTGACTGAGAAACTAGTCAGGCCACAAAGTGTCTATAGAAAACTTCATCTCCAGAGTTAATTTCAGCTCACGTTCTCTTAGTCATAAAGTATTACTGAAACTGTCCTAGACAAAGGTTGCTTACCACATGACAGTTTGAGAACAGATTCCTTTCAATTTAGGTATAAAATAGCAAGTTCCTATATTCCGCACTCAAATAACAGTTGTCAGGCCCCACACGTGCATGAGATTGGATCATGGCACAGAAGGATATAAATCCACATTCTTGAGATCATAAATCAGTCAAACTGGTTGACTGACTGCAGACCCTCATAGGACTGGGTTATTCACCAGCTGCCCATGACAAGATTCCCCTGGTGCATTCAGCACTGTGAGAACCAAGATACTGGTCTGATTCAGTTGGATTCTCTTGCAGTATGTTTCAAACTGTTGAATATGGATATCTCCTGATGCTAAAACATATGCAGTTCCAGTGTCCTGATCTTATACAACTCTTCCCTTGACAGATCAATACATTTCTCAGCAAATATTTTATTTCTGAAATAACTAAAAAAAAAAATTAATTACATTCATTTGACCTAAGCACACATTTGAGGGAGACAAACTCATTACACTTCACGCTAATTCTTGGATCTATATTAAAAATAACCAAAACTAACAAACAAACAAATAAAAACACCACCACCCCTATGGGGTTTTGCTTCAAAATGAGGGAAAAACCCTATAAGAAGATCAGATCTGGGGTACAAGATAACACAGACAATTTCCAGCATAAATGCTAGTTATTAGATGTCATGTAGAGTCAGGAGTTGCCATGGAATCCATTTGCTTCTAAACCAGCTCCTCCTGCTGGAATACTTTCTCATTATTATTTGTTTCAGTAGCACAAAAGGAGCTGGCTATAGAAGAAATGTTATTTTAGGGTAAAGTTTCTACTATGTCTGCAGTCAGACATAAAATTAAAATCTAAATTTAAAGCCATATTTATGTTCAAATGTAAAGCTACATTACTGCAGTCAGAAGAACAAAATCATCGTAGCCTTTTTATAGATGCAGTAAAGCAGAAAAAACAAATTATAGCTGAAGTCATCCTTTCAGCTGTCTTCCAGTAAGTGAAAATAAACATCATATGATGTCTAGTATTTACATTTTTGCTACGTTTATTTCCCGGAATGCTTAGTTTTTACCATTTCACATTAGTTTTTCTATGCAACAGCAGCCCCTTTACCACCCTAATTCCTAACATCCTGGTACACAGAACAGTGTGTGCATGCTGGACACTGGGTTCATTAGGCCAATGAACTTACTTGTTGTGATGTCAGCTTCAGTAGATGGATTTCAGAGGAAAAAATGCAATCATGCCTTCAAACTCTTGACTTGCTGATTATTGGGTTTCAATTCTTTTGTATACAATGTGTTGCAGTAAGACAGGAGGACAATACTGGAAAGTAACCAGCAATATTATAAAACTATGTCAGTGATTTTCAGCTTGGCATTTTAATACTTATTATTAATATTATTATTTATAATAGACATTGACTAGAATTGCATCTGGAAGCCCTAAACAGAAATAGGAACCTACTGTGATCAACATTGTACAGAGATAAATACAGCCTTTGCCTCCAAGAGCTTATATTGAATGGTCCCAGCCTTGTAAAATGAGCTGGTCAGATAGATTCTTGTGCCCCTGCAGAGTCCCCCAGCCCCCCAGGGCAGTCAGCTTCCTGTGTAACCCTCCTATATGGAAAAGCAGCAAGCAAGCTTTGAATGCAGGGAGTCTTTCTAATCCATTCCTCTCCCTCCCTTTAGCAGTTGAGTTACACCGAAGCTTAGGTGAGTCTATTATTTCACCAGACTTCTGACCCTTATTTACATCTCTCCAACTCAAAAGTTTTGCTCCTGCCAGGAAAACAGAGGAAGATCGGTGCCATGCAACACTCTTCTCCCTCCAGCCCTGTGTTTTCTAAGGTCCCATAACTACAGGCAGGCTTTGGCACCCACCAAAAGGCCTGTGGTAACTCTCAGGAAGCTCCCCAGAGAGCAACATCTTCTAGAACAGGCAAAACCAAAACAGCATGGACAGGCAGGCTACAGACTGACTCCTTTGCCCTGGAGGGAAAACAGAACTGTCACTGAAGCCCTCCAATGAATAGAAGCAGTCCAGCATTAGTAAACAATGAGGGCTGAGCTGTGGGAAGAGGACAGGGAGCCACAAGCCAAGCATGACAGCCAGGCCATTAGGGCAAGGGCCTCACTAACCGGGGCCCACCCCACACTACCTGAGCAAGGAGATCTGGGTTGGTACAGGGATAAGCCAGGCTCAGGCCAGAGCACAGATCATCAGGAAAGTCCATAGTGGCAAGACAGATGCAAGTTCAAGCTGCGAAGTCAGTCCATGCATGGGTCAGGGTCCAGATCAACAAGGCATCATAGCAGTGCTGACAGAGCCAGGAACTCCTACAGGCAAGCTCTGAGGGAAGGTGTGAGCATTGCTGCCAGGTGAGGCCAGTCAGGGCAACTAAGGCTTATTAGTGTGCTCAGGGACCTGATACCCAGAGTCTTCTCCTATCCTGCCAGTATGGCTGCTCTGATAAGTGGCTGGGTGAAGCCATGGGCCAGGAGCATTTTGTGCTGAAGCCAAAATTTAAACCAGACTCCAGAATATCCTTAGGATTTGTTACATTTCAAAAATGTGGCATTAGCATCACAAAGCTACTGCCAGACCAAATCAATAATAACTCCTTGTTCATCTACCAGATAAATCTGATAGGAACTACACAGAGTGAGCAAGCCCTGGAGATTCCTCCATCTGGGTGCAAGTAGTAGACACTTCTTGGGAGAGGCAATGTGGGGAAGCTGTCCTTTCAACAGGCTCTAGCTTCAGCTGGTTACACCCAGCCATCGCATTGTCTGAACAGAGTCCCACCATCAGTGAATAAGAGCCAGAATTCAGGGTTCAGACAAAACATTTCAACAGTGAGGCAAAACTTAAATAACAAAAGAAGTATTAATCTCAGGTATATACCAATCCTTGGAAACATGCCCCTACCCCTGCGCAGCAGACTCAACACAGTTTGAAGTAGGTTAAAACCAGATTCCAGCTTACAAATCTGGTGCCGTTTCCCTGTGCCCCCTTCCACCTTAAGCAATTCATCCCACAGTGTTTTCCTCAGAGACGTCATCTTCTCCACATCGTTTCCAAAGAAAACGGCTACAAACTCAGTTCATACTGCAGTTGCAATAAGGAATCTATTCACCTCATGGGGAACGCAGAGGAGAGTAGAGACGCGCTTGCAGAGTAATTGAGAAACTGTTAAGTGACAGAGGGTCAGACTCCCAGTTTAGCATGCAGTGCTCCTGAGCATAATTACACTTAGCCACAAACAGGTGTGAGACTAAAACAACTCAAGCTCCTATTAAAACCCACACAGGGTACACTTCCCATCTTGCATTACAACAAAACTGTAAGCATCCTGATGATTGTGATATACACCAAGCGCAACGGGCACCAGTTCTGAAGCCACCAGGCAACCTCACACCCTGTATCCCTCCTGTCTGGTCTGATTAAGCCTATTCTCTGAGGTGATGGGAGGCCGAAAGCAGAGTTTCAGAGCAGCAGAAGGGGGTGGTTCCTCTTGCTATCGATTTCATCTCAAACTGCATGTGTTATTTTGAAGCAAAGTGTGCCCTCGAGGGGGCCTAAGCTGCTTTCCTCCACTGAAACAAAGCAGTGATACAAGGTATTTGTGACCTGTTAATTATCAGGTTGATAGTAAGAACAGACTGTGGAACGGATCCCACTATTTTAAGCATTATTCTTTGGGGTGCTGAAATTTAAACAGGCTTCTGATGACAGATTTTCCCCTGACCAATGAAATAACTTCTTTGCTAATGAAAGCCAGGCCTTGGGAAAGGAGATTTCAGTAACAGGGATTGGAGGAAGCCTTATGCAGCTTTGGCTCCACTAGCATAGGTAAGTGTGGGTCTCATGCTGTACCTGAGGAGGTTTTCCCCCAGACTCTATACCAGGGCAAAACCCCAACGAGGGAGGACAAAATCCAAACTAGCAAGCCTATAAGTGAGTAAAATAACATAAAAGGCACGTTTCCTCCTCAAATCTCCTCGCGTTGCGGAAAACAGACCCGACCCCATGCAGAAGAGCGTACAAAATTAGGGGGGCGGAGGTAGAAGGAGAAGGGGAGGGGCTAGTACTGGCGGCTCGCGTCGTGCCCTCGTGATGCGCCCCCGGGCCGCGCTGCCGGTGAGGGTATGCTAATTTTAACAGCAGGACCGCGCCGAGCCAGCGCAGCGCGGTGTCTGCCTGCCTGCCTGCCTGCCTGCCCGCCCGCGTCCGTCCGTGCGGGGCGCTGCGGAGACGGAGTGGGGCGCGTTGGCACGCACAGGCGCGCTCGTGTCGGGGGTCGTCGCGGCGCGTGTACCGCTGTGGATCCAGCGGCCGTTGGCGGCGGGTGCGTGGCAGGGAGGGCCGGGCCGAGCCGAGCCGAGCCGAGCCGGGAGGGGGCGTGGAGCTGCGCTGCTCGCTGCGGGCCGCTGCCGAGTCACCAGAGAGCCTGGCAGAAACACTGCGGCCGAACAAAGCCCTCGGCGGCTGAGAAGCTTCCCCTGAAGTGCGCCGGGGCCTTGGCGGGGCGTTAGCGACCCCGTCTATGCGCCAAGGGGGAGGGAGAGAAGCAGCGCCGCGGCTACCTGCAAGGCAGAGGTGCCACTCGCGGCCGAAATCGGGGGAGCTCGTCCCCCTGGGGGTGGTTTCGCGCGACGTGGGGAGGGCGCGGAAAGGCCCCGCCGGGGGTACCGAGGGCGCCCCGGCGGTCTCGGAGGCGCCTCCCCACGCCTGGCAGGCTGTGGCGTAAGGGGAAGCCCCAGTAGGTGAGGTGCGGGAAGAGCGAAGCGCCGACACCGCCCGGGCCGCTTTCAGCGTGCGACGGCAGGAGGGAAAGAATGAACGTCGGTGCAGCAGGAAGGAGTACAGCAGCTAAGCGAGGTGTCTGAGAACACAGGGAGGGCAGGAAACAACTTCTTAAAGTCTGTAATTTCTTCAGAGTTCGTTTCCAGTCCAGTTTCCTTCCTTTACCAAGGACGTTTCAGCTCATTTCGGACGTTCAGCATACCAGGCTCCTTTGGAAATGCAGAAAGCAAAAACGATGTGTCTGGGGATAATTGTTACTGATCACAAAGCAGAGTTTTAAAAAAAACGTTTCTTTATAGTTCATGTTTTCATTCGCTGCTCCACGTAAAATAGCTTGACTTCCGATCATTAGCGAGAGTGTATTCAATAAGGAAAGGGCTAAAAGATACTGACCTTTGACTCCACTGGAAAAAAAAAAAAAAAAATCATCTCGTTACATTCATGCCAAAACCAATAAAACTGTAAAGGTGTGTGTGGTCAAGAGAGGTGCCCCTCCCCCCACCCTCACCCCGAAGCATTGCTTAAAAAAACATAGATATGTCGCCAAAAACTGTTTGAGTCACCGAAAATAGCTTAGAATCGTGCTAGTAGTGGAGTAATATACTTTTGCAGTGTTGCTATAATTATTTGTAAGAGATGCGTTCGGATCCGCCTGTGTCAGAGGGCTGCTATCCAAGCGAGGGTCTGCGAAGTGTTTCCTGCGTTTTGTCAGAGAACCGGCTTTCTCGATGCCCTGCTCCCCTGAACGTCCTAATGATATTAGCGAAAGAGCAGAAATAAAGCACCTAGAGCATGGCTCGAATCTTGGGGGTTAAGATTTACATCAGTTAAAACCTATTAATTGCTTCTGAATGGTCTCTAAGGGCGTTTGCCGTGTGTGTGTTTCTGTCAATAAAGCCTTGATGAGTGCGCGGGTGAAAATTCCCTGGCACGCCGATGCACCAAGATACCCGAGTGTCCCCTGGCTCTCAAGTTACCGGGCACGGGTAGATGCAGCACCCCGGGGCCGGGCAGGGCCGGTAACGGTGGCGCAGTCACACCGGGACTCCCCCCCAGGCAGTGCGTGTCCGGCAGAGGCCCCGACGCCTTCTCGTCGCTACGGAGTGAGAGGGGTGAGGATTGGCTTGTCAACATCTGGCTGTGGCGAACATCAGGCCGATGGGGACTTGTTGTAAATAATCGTGAGAGCGACCCGCGCGGTTAGTTCGATTATACTCACCTTTTGCAAGCACTATGAAGAAAGCGGTGTATGGGTTCTGCGTGACAGAATTTTTCTCTCTACATAAGAAATTGTCACTTTTTTTTTTTCTTTTTTTGGAGGGGTGGGAGCGGGAGTTAGTAGACGCACCCAAATTCATAAGTATATCAGAGTATGCCAGAATGTGCAGGAGCAGAAGCTGGATCAGACTTGTCCTATAGGGAAATGACCCAGCAGGGTGTTTTTTGTGGGTTTTTTTTTTTCTCTGCTTTGATTTGTACAGCTCCCTCCTCTACCCCCCCACCCCGCACACACTCACACATTCACGCAAGCCTCAATATAGTCTGCATATTGTGCCTGGCTAAACCAAGTTTTCTATACGTCTCGTTGGAAACCTGCCTGAAACGCTTTGTTTTCACGCAGCCTTTCTTGAGATATCCCGGTTTAGTATGCGTCTGTTTAAGTCACATAGTGCTGCTTACCTGCTCAGTTTACTAATATTATCTCTTTTCCAGAGTATTCTTGCCCGAGAATGAATGCACCTGGACTGAGCGCAGTGATCCCTGCGCTTCAGGTGGCCAGAGGGTCTCTCTCGCCTCCCCCCCCCCCCACTCTCCCGTGGTGTCCGGCTCCACTTGCCGACAGCGGGGCACCGGCAGGACACCGCTGCCCCCCGCTCGGCATCTCTGGTCCCTGCTTCTCGGGGTGACGACGACAGGGACACACAGGGGGCGGGGAGCCGCGGTGCTCCCCCGGTGTCCCCCGGGGCTGGACCCCCAGCCCGCAGGTGTCCGCTCCGACGGCGGCGTTACTCCTTGGAGTAACCGCGGTACGGTGGTGCATCCACTTTATAGAGCGGCATCCTGTCCTTCCCTCTAGGACCGACGGGCTCCACCGGGCGCCCCGCGGAGCCCGCCGCGGGTTACATGGGGCTGTTGGACGCTAAGAAGACCAGCAGTTTGTCTTCTGTGGGCTGCCTTGCTCTGCGTAGCTAGAACAGGCCAGTGCTAGCTCTCATCTTCGCTGTCAGATGTCGCGTGTTTT